GTGACATCCTGAGGGTGGCGGTGCGCGTGAGGTTTGGGGGCACGGTGGTCCACCCGGGAAGGGCCCTTGGTTTCCACGACAACCATGGCCAACATCAACCTGTGCATGTGCTTGTTGACGTGGATGCTGAGGGGTGCTCACACATGGTCCCCCAACTCTTGGCCACCCCCTGAGCCGTCAGGAAAAGTGATGGTTCACACTGACGCTTGGACGACGGTTTTTTTCTTTTTCATTGGAACATCTTTGAGAGTTCACGGTTTTACTGACTGAAACGTCTTTTCTCTTTAGATGTGGAACCCAGTCCAACCCCCAAAAAACCCAGCGCTGGTAAGAAGCACCGGTTCTCAGTATGTAGACAACACGGCGACATCAACCGCTGGCGCCCCAGCTCCCGAGAGCTGGACGAGACGCAGACAGGGATAAGCATGTGTAGCTCAGGGCGTCTGGCGTCAGCCTGGTTCCCGTTCCAATTGATTGCGTTGCCGCCTCGACATTGCCGGGTCCCGTCGTTCACTCTCAGAACAAATGTCGGCACGTCCACGAGATGCCGCGTGTCCTTCGAGCAGTGTTTCTGGACACCCCTTGACTCCGAGTGCCCGTTCCTGTTTGGGGATCTCCATTGCCCCCCATGACCCAGGAGCGAGCTCAGATTTCAGCCTTGAGGGCATCCGTGCAAATGTTGGCGCTGACCCTTTCCTTTCAAATACCCATCAGAGATCAGGGACAGATAACAGAATTGCCCGAAGGTCACATCCGTCGTGGGTGAGGCTCTCACAGTGACATTGACGCCCAGAGTTATGCAGCTGTTATCACTGTGTGTTTGTTTGTTTTCCAGCAAGAGTAGCTCTGTTTCCTTAGGGGGCTCCCCTGTAGAAGGCCATCTCCTGAGTGAACGGGTAGTGTGTTTGTGTCCACACCCAGCGCCTTGAGTCGTGCAGGCACACACAGGATGCTGGGCCAGCAACTGTTGGGTCACTGAATTGGTACCGTCAGGAGCCCCGGGGGGCAGAGACTGTGTCTCCCCACCCTCGAGCGTCCCAGCTCAGCCCGTGGTGTGGGGTGGGCACACACACGGTCCTTAGATGTAGGCGGCATTTGAAAGGCGGTCTTAAAACGAACAGGGTGGGCTCAGCTGTCACCGCCAGGAATCGTCACCTCGGTTGTCAGGCACACCTGGCTCAGGAGAACCACGCTGGGGTTCCCTTCCCTCCCAAATCTGGCCGCCCCATCCTGTCCCCGTCTCTTAGCGGTCCTCCTTGAAGACACTGTCGGCCGCTTGCTAGGGGTTGATGGCGGGATGGGAAAGGAACAGGTCAGGATTTTCTGCCCCTGGACTTGGAATTCCAGCTCGGTCCACGTGGCGCGTAATTGAGTTATAAACGGCTTCCCTTTCTGTTCTGTTTGTTTCCTTCTCTTTTTCTCTGAGAGAATAGTGCTGTGAGAGTGGTCGGAAATTCACCTTTTCTACTGGGGTCCTGGTGAGACTGATAGTCAGAGAAGGATTTAAGGGTGTGGGGTGCAGCGTTACCCACATCTGTTTTCTGGCGTTTCGCCCAGAACTTGCTTATTAACGACCCGTTTCCTTCTGTCAGGCGACGACTTCAGCTTAGAAGACGCCCTTGGCGGTGGAGGCCACAGTGAGTTCCTCTTTCAGTCTCCTAAGGGGCAGAGTTGCTTATTTGTCTCTCTCAGAAACGCTAAGTGGAGCTGGTTTTCACCAGGAAAAAAATAGCGAGTGGGTGTGGTACTGTTTGTTGCTGTTTACTTTTTTTTGTCCGTATGCTTTGATTTTTAAAACTCTTGGCAGTTTTTGGGGGCTGGGTGGGGGGATGGATAAAAGGGAAATTGACCGCCTTGCCGGGCCTGGCTTCTCGGCAGAGTGACCTGTGTGTAGCGAGTCACTCCGCTCACCATCTGTTGCAGCCAAATTGAAATTCGTCCTACAAACGGGAACCAGGGAGCCCACGTTTTCCTTTTGTGCCGGGACCCGTATATTTTGTAGCCGGTTCAGACACGGGTTTTAGTTGATTTGTAGTAGTGGGGACACATGAAGTGGTAAGTATTGCAGCTGGAAGATGATGGGGACAAATTGGCAGGTGGCGGGCCACGTGTATGGATGTCCCCTCCCCCATGACACAGGACACGCTCCGGTTTCTAGCCGTTTAGTAAACCGTCTGGGTGCTAATGGGTGTTTTCTTTTCGTGACTGCCAAGTGCTCAAAGTTGTACCTCTCTTCTTGTGCAAACAGATGACCCAGTACCGCCCGGTCCACCGAAGCCAAAACCTAGCCCAAGACCCAACCCAAAACCCAACCAGCCAGGAACATCTGGTAAGACCGTGGAGCTCTGAGGGTCCGCTGTGTGGTTTGATGTTTTCCCTCAGGGAATGGTGGTTTCCATGTCAGCAGAGGGAGGGGGAGATGACTCATGTGCAACCCGTGGTCTCTTTGGCAACGTAATTCCAAATTTTCAGTAGCGGAAGACACTTTCAAAACGATATTTCTGACCTGCATTTGGTCTTCCTGGGTAGTTTCCTCGTTTTACTTGCAAGGTTTTATGGGCCCTCTAAAGGATTGAATGCAAATTTTTTTTTTTTAAGATTTTATTAGGGAATGGGGGAGGGGAACAGCATTGGAGAATCGGGGAAGGGGAACAGACAAGTTGCTGTCCTTTTGTTCTTCAGTGTAGTTGTGGAGGACGTCGCTTCACTGGCCCATGTTGGTATTATCACTGCGCTCTTCCTGGGTGAGGCAGTCGCTCGCCGGCCACTGGGTGGCCACTCACGGCGACTCACGCTGGCTGCCAGCCACACACGGTAGCTTATGGTAGCTTAGGGGCTGCAGCCTACGCCATCATCGGCGACTCATGACAGCCCAGCTCCAGGTTGAGCTGTTGTTCACCATCTTAGCTGTAGAGGGCAGTGTCACTGGCCCTCATATGTGGGATCCGAACCGGGGCCCTGCTGCTCAGAGCTGGTGTCCCAAGCCAACTCCCAACCAACGCGCCACTCGGCTGGCCCTAAAATTTTAAATATGGGGAATTGATACGGAGAAAAGTATCAGCTTGATTTTTTTTTTTAAACCTTTGTGCCTTTTCTGACGCGTCACGGTGTGCTCAGAGTCACGTGACCTGTTGAAACTGCAGGTTTTGAGTGTGTTTCCTTCACATCTTTGTTTCAGTTTTAACCCAGAAAAATACAAATACTGTCCATCTTCTACCACTGTTTACATTTTGATGGCTAGTCTCTCTATATTTTGTATATCAATGTTAGTGAAGCAAATTTTAAGTACAAATGTCAATATTTTGTTCACACTGTGCCATAGTGTTATTTTTACTTATGAATAGATCATAAACATTTTCTCAAGTCATTGAATAGCTTTTACTCGTGTAACTTTTAGCAGCAGTTACATACTCTCATCACTAAGCTCTTAATTTTGAAAATGTTACGTTTCTACAGATATTGTAGAATTATGAATTACAAAGCAAATTTAAGCAATCTTTATGCACTTATTTATTTTTTTTAATTCCTGAAAAGAGATTCCAGAAGTCAAATTATTTAGGTCAATGTGCGTGTGCTACCCCTAAAGTTTTTGACAATTTTTTTTTAATTACCCTCAGAATAATACTACCAGTTTACATGACCTGCAAGTCTGCGTGCAAATGTCCGTCTCTTCGCAACCTCTCCAATAATGGTTATTATCCCCAGAAAATGTCTGTCAAATAGGTTGTGAGAAATGGTATACTGCTCTTCCCCTAGTTTTATCTCTTTATTTCTGAAACTAAAAAAAATAATAATAATAAACTCAGCATGTCACTTGGCCATGTATCGTTTTTCTTTTGCTGTTGGTTGCTTGTATGTTTTTTTCTCACCTATAATTTAGGATATCCAGCCGTCTCACCGATTTATAAGCCAACTGTACTTAGTTACAGATATTGATTATTTTCAGTCACTTGTTCTGAAACTATTTCCCCATTTGTTTCCACCTTTGAGTATTTTTAACAGTCTTTTCTGACAAGCAAGACTTTAAATTGTTTTTTCTCTTCACAGTGTCTTCTATGCTCATGTGTTTCTTCCCCTTCCTTGTGGCTGTTCCTTTTTTGCCTTTGAATGTCAGAATCATTTTGTCATTGTCCCGCTCCCCTCTTGGGAAAAATAAACCCTAACCTTTTTAGTTTCATCTGAATTAGTCACAACTATAAATGCGTTTAGAGAGTGCTGAGCCATTTGCAAAGTGGAGCCTTTTCTTTGGCATTCAATTACGTGAACTTTTTTCTCATTATTTCTTTAAATGGATGTCTAAATTGTTTTTTTTTCCCCGTTATTATTTCTGTGGGTACATTATTTTATGTCCATTATTTTTCTGTTTATTTCTGTGATAGAGAAATCACTTTGTAGATTTTCCCTAAGTAGTCACTTAACTTTCATTAACTTTTAGCAGAGTGTCTTCATGTCTTAGCTTTTCTAAGAAGAATGTCATGTTACTTGCAAACGATTTTTTAAAAAACGTTCCCCTTTGCATGTTTATATTTCTGTTTGCAATTTACTTCTGTGCTTGTCTCATTTTGCTTTGGCTAAAAAAAAACCCAAGACAGATTTAAAATATGAGAGGAGAGAGCAGATGTTTCTCATGCCTGATTTTATATAAAAGAAATTGCCTTTTTTAATAAAAAAATATGATAGATTTGCATTTCAGGAAGTATGTTTCTACTCTAGTTCACTTTCTTTTCCTAAACAGGGATAATTGTTACTTTTTATCAGGGGCATGTGGTCCTCAGTGCAAATGGTCATTTTTTTTTCTTTTAACCCATGCATGTGACGAGTTGTATTGGGGGTGTCTTTATATAAAACATACCTTTGCATTCATGGAATAAACTCCAGTTCGTCACGATAGGGTTAATTAAACTGGTGGATGACATTTGATGTGCTTGCTACCTAACAAAGCATCCCCCAATCCAGAGACTTAACGTTTTTTTGGTTTTTTTTAGCTGAGCCATCCTGCCACCTGTTGGCAGCTCGGCGGCTGCTCAGCTCAGGCCAGGACTCGAACTGCTGACTTAACGTTTTTTTTGTTTTAAATGGTGATGTGTAACGAGTCTGGGCGGGGCTTGGCTGACCCTGGCTTGATGCCCCGTGTCTGCAGTTGACTGGTCAGGGCGGCCTCCGTTGGGATGGCAGGGCACTTGGTCGTGTGTATCACACACCTCGACACCAGCCTGTGTGAGCTGATGCCTCTGGGGCAGGAATACCAACCCCACGGAGGCTGTTTAAGAAATATCGGTGTGTCTCCCGTGTGGCTAATACTCTGGAGTCCACAGGAAGGCACCTGGCTGAGTCCAGAGGCAACAGGTGGGCAGAACACTACATCCCAACGGGGAGAGTGAACAGTGACAGCCATTGGTGCCAGGAGCCCAAACAAGACAGAGCCCTTTCGGGCTGAAAAATGTATATCCGTCCAAAAGATCGGCGTGCACGATCAATTTCTTTTGGTATCACCTTTTTTTTTGTTTTTTGTTTTTATCTTCAGGTTTCGTAGCAGAAATTTTGGCAAGACTAGTGTTAGGAGTTTTGCAATAGCAAAGGGGTTCAATTGTAATTGCATCTTTGAAAGGTTTCTCCCATAAATACCTTTGTGGGGACCTCCCTTCTAAGGGCGGCTTCCTTTGCTCCAAGACACCGACGCCCTCCCGACAGTCCCAATGTGGCAGCTGACACTTATTTTTCCCTCCTAGGTGGATTTTCAGATTCCGACCTCCTTGATGGGAATTCAGGTAGAGTTCCTGTTTGTTCTGTGTGTTTTCTCCGTGCATCGCCTGTTGCTCACCTGCTCTGCAGGATCGCGGCGGGGCCTCAAGCCTCAGCTCGCTGGGGCCTCAAACAGTTGGCCGTTTGGTCCTGTCTTTCTGAGCTCTGCGATTTGCAGGAGCTTCTGGGACGTGGCCGCGATACCTGCTCTCTAGAAGCTGGCCCCCGGTTGTTCTGTTGGCAATTCTGGAAGCTTCCTGAACCTTCCCCGCTGGGCTGGAGCTGGATGGGGGTGTCTCGGATATCTCCTTCCACTGTGTCTTCTGTGACCGTCTCAGGGTGCCGATGGCATGTGCCCTTTCGTGTAACTAACGAACGTCGAAATCCAGGCCCCGAGAATGGAGGGACGGGGCTTGTCCAAATGGCCTCGCTGGCAGCCTTACAATTTCTCTGTCTGTGTCTTTGACATCTTAGATCAGAGCAGGGTCCAAAGCAGTATTTAAATACAATCAATAAATATAACAATATATAACACGTCTATAATAATTAGGATATTTATAGTTGCTGACGCTGTGTACCTACAGCCTGTCTTGATCTATTTTATGTCTCGCAGCTCAACAGAAACCAGCCTTAGATCTTAGATGGCCGTAGGCAGGGTCTCAGGTGGGCTGCAGGACTGTCACTTGGATTGTCCCCGAGCCCAGAGAAGGGACAGAGTCCCCCAGGCACCTTTAGGACTCGCTGGATGGTGGGCGTCCTGGAGCTAGCTTCTCGGTAAATGGCAGTGAGACAGGCGAGAACCTACGGCCGAGCAGGGCCATGCACCCAACAACAGGAAACGACTTCCTGATGATAGTAAACGGCCGTGTCGGGGCCGCGATCTCTTCTGTGAGGCTTTCTCCACCACCTGCGGTGGCAGGAGCTGGTCCTCGACAGGAGTGTTTCTGCATCGAAAATGTTCCCCATGCAATTCGTCAAATGCGTCCACCGGGCTTGTTGGTCTCTTGCAGCGGGAGGTGGCGGCAGCGGCGGAGCAGGAGGTGGAGGCAGCGGTGGAGCAGGAGGAGATCAGAGGCACGATGGAGAAGGACCGGGTACGACGCCGGGTTGCTGACGTCTGGGGTTTGGGATCTTTAGAGTGTAAAGCACATAGAGCCGGGAGCCAGGTGGCACACGGCCACGGGGTGACTGCATGGTGCGGCCGGCCCCACCCCAGCCCGCCCTGCGCCCTGCGCCCCGTGGAACGTGTGTCTTTGCCCGCGAGCTTCCTGACGGGGACATTAGGACCCTGTGCTGGTTGGAGCATGGGAAGGGACGGAGGTTATCATTCCCCTGCACACCGGTTACCGGGGTGCACGCGGTGCATGGGGTGACACTAACTGCAGTGGCTTTTGGAGATCAGGAGGGAGGTCCCCCTCGGGGAACAGCCGCGTGGCTGGCCCTCGGCTCACGCGGGAGGACTTGAGGCCGCGTTGGGGAACCGGGTGAGGTTCAGGAGTTGGGGTTCCCTCCGCGGTCACCCTGTAACCCAGCCCCACCTTCTTCGTGTGGGCACGGCCACCAGCCCGCTGCCCCGTCGTCGTGTCTCCGTGAATGTCCCCCCAACCTGGGCGTTTTGTGTTGCTTCCCACAGCTGAGTCCCAGGGCGTGGTCCCCGGCATCGTGGCGGCTGTCGTCATGGCCGTGGCTGGGGCCATCTCCAGCTTTATCGCCTACCAGAAGAAGAAGCTGTGCTTCAAAGAGAACGGTAAGGTTTTCCGCCTCTGCTGCCTTTTGCCTTTGTGCTTTGCTACCTTAAAAGCTGGGCTGCTTTTCACAACAACAGCAACCAATATAAAAAAAAGTGGAACTCAGGTTGGTGCTGAACTCATGTACAGCGGCCGATCGATGGTCCACGGCACTGCGAGATTGCTGGCATCGGACTCACCTTCCATCCCGGTGCGGGATCGTTGTGTGTGCGAACTTGTGGCCGTTACGCACCGCCCCACACCACGGCGGTGACGTCTGTAAGTGGGGGAGGTGATGGTTCCTCCCACACACAATTTCTGTGAGGATCCATGGGTCGCGGGCGAAAGCCTGGATAGGTTGGCTGGCAGGGAGCGGGTGAGGAAGACCTGATAGCTCGGACGATTCATTCGTCTTCATTTGCAACCTTACAATTCAACGTCGCCCTCATCATCACTGGCAGGACAGGCATGGCCGCGAGGCTCCGTGTTGTCTTCTCGACCCGATGGAGTGAGAATTGACATGCAAAGCAACCGATTCCTTTCCTGGTAGAATCCAGGGCCAACAGGCAGCCGGCAGGTTCTCGGACAGATTTTGTGTTTGTTGCCAGGTATACACCCTTTTTGTGAACAGAGAACTGAAATGTCGCATCCAAGAGTTGCGTCTGGAAATATCCCGGGACTTTCGGGGTCTACACAGGTCCGTTTTATGGGTTTTATTTGTGGCGTGATCACTTGAAGAACCACAAACCCCTGTGTCCTCAAGAGCATTCGGCCGTCTCCTTCTTGGGCGTCAAAGTGACGTGTCTTGTGTCGATCTCGTGCTGAGGCTAACCGAGCCGGGCTGGTGATTCTGAGGCTGAAGTTTAGACTTTGGGGTTAGTCCTGGTGCTTAAAGAGGGGGTGAGTCGAGACTTCTACATGGAGGGGCTCTAAATGCTCTCCCCGTGGCTGTGGTCACCTCCTGCGGCCGGCCACCTCCTGTGGTCACCTTCAGAGCCTTGACAGTGGTCACCTTGACAGCCCTCCAGCTCTTTCCAGGAGGTGTCTGCAGGTTTCTGGGGTCTTCCGAAGCCTGCACCCCAATTAGCACAGGACTGAGGGTGCACCCAATCTCGTGTGCCCCCAAGAAGCCAGTCCTCAGTGTGCTGAAGACCGGGCTGCACTGGTCAGGGGTCCCCGAGGCCTCGGCCCCATGTGCGTGTTGTCTGTCTGCATAAACACGCCCCGTCCCCAGCATAGACACCCGCTAAAGCCGCAGCTGCCGTCGTCACTCCAATAGCTACATGTAGCTCCTAGCCCACAAAGAAAGCACGTGAGCTGCTTGAGTTTATTTTGAGGTGCGTGTCCGGCCTTTTCAGCTGTGAGGGTTGCAGCCGGCGGCGTGGCCGGTGAGTCTCTTGGAGCCTGTTGTCGTATTTGGGGCGCACAGTGTTAGGTACAGGTGTTTGGTGTGCGTGGGGTTTGCAGGCCCCCCTGGGAGTCTGGGCCTCCCTGTTGTGCGTCTCCGACCACAGACCTTCCGTCGGCTCCCTCCCGTTCAAAAGCAGCAGCCTTGCCCGGGCTGCACGAGCTGCCGTCAAACACAGTCCCAACGGGATAGAGTCTGGGGGTCTTGGAGAAGCACCCTGGTGACAGAGCTGCATTGTAATCGCAGCCAGGATCCCCCGTTATTGCTGTGTCCCCTAAGTGTGCTGAGTCTGGGGAGGAGGGGCGATGTCTTGCTCCCAGAGGGTGGAAACCTGTCCATACCCGAAAAAATCCACCTTGTCTCCCTACAAGGTGCAGCCCCTAAACCTGTGCCTCCGTAAGTTTGTCCCCAAACGCTGGGGGTTTGTGACACCAACGTCAAAATTACGATACCTCTGCCCTTTAGCAATGAACTTTTTTTTTTTTTGGTAGCGGGAAATTATGTGTGCTGTGAAAGTAAAGCAAATTTAGGATTTCAGGCCGTGGCAGTTTGCTCTCAAATGTGCCGGGTGTTGATAAGCCACTTCCTGACCCGCCGGGGACACAGCTGGCACCCCCTGCGGGCACCACCATTCACCTCCCTCCCTCATGGGTGTCTTCCCAGTCTGTCCTGCGTGGCTGTTTCGCTTTCTCGTTTTAATTTTAGAAGTTTGGTCTCCAGCGGGTGTCTCATCGCATGGTATGGGGGTGACAATCACGGAATCCGTTTCATGCAGACTGGGGTGAAAAGGAGATTAAAGTTCTGTGAACGCGAAACAGATTGTCACGGCTCTGACACGCGTGTCCAGGCTGCTTTTCATGTCGAGAGGGCCCAGCGTGTGTGCTTATCAGCAGCGATGCAGAAAAGAAACAAATAGATTTGGCCTGTGGCCCTTTTCTTGCACGTGTTGGGTTTTAGCGCAGCGAGCGCCTCGGAGAACGTTTGGGGGCGTGGTCACGTGGGCGTTGATGCATGTTTGCAAAAGTTTGGAAGTTACGAAAAAAAAAATGCTGAGAAAGAAAACAACACAGGAGGAAGCAAATGGGACCTCACAAGGCCCCCTTAGGCCTGAATTCCCGTGGTGACGGCCAGTGCAGCTCTCTCGGTGCTGTCACTCACTTTGCCGGGGGTGCAGGGTGATGGGGTGGGGGTGCGTAGGGGGATGTGGGGGTGGAAGTTTGGCGGAGGGTAGGGGCCTGAGTCAGCCTGACGGTGGCATCAGGGTGCATTCCCTTTGTATTCACCCCGTGGGGGGTTCTGTTTTTTTGCTTTCAGCCGACCAAGGTGACATCAACATGGAAAGCCATCGGAACACCAACGTGGAGCCGCCCGGTAAGAAGGGACGCTGACCCCCAGCGGTCCCACTATACACCCTCCAAGCACAGTCGGGGCCCTGCTGTCTTGCCCTCTATTCATTCCGTGTATGGTGTCGGGTGGGGTCCCTTATGTCACGTTGCTGTCAAGCAGGGCCTTCGTCCTGCAGACGACATTTATATTTTCTGGGGCTTCTGATGAGATCTAATGAAGCCCGAGACTCTCTTTAAAATGCCGGTGATGGCCAACTTCCAAGTGGCGCCCACGGACACATGGCCAGGACGTCAGCAGCTGGCTGATGTCCAGCAAGGATCAAAGGGCATCTTGTGACACGCAACATTTTGTCACGTCCTGGGGTTCACGTTGACAAACTCCTCCTTGTCCAGGGGCAGAATCGCCTGAAGAGAAAGTTGTTTAAATTATGCAACGTTCTCCGGGCTAAAGGCAGGTGTTTTACAATGAGGACCACTTTAGAAAATGGCAGGGGAAAAAAAATGTATGTATAGACATATATGTGCGTGCATTTATGTATATGTTGGGACCTCCCCATGGGCCCAAGACAGGCAACATTTATTTGACTAGGACACCTATGGAATACGTTTTTAATGAAATTTTAAAGTATTTTCAATTCCCAAAATACAAACTTTTAGAAAGTTAGTGTCGAATTCGCTGCTCCTTCAAATCCGGGATTGATGCTTAAAATGAGCTATGGTCTTCAAGCACCAAAAATGCAAACTAGACCTCTAGAACGTACGCGAACCGATCAGAAAATCTTAGCCCCAAAATCCTTGTAAACGCACGCAAACCAAGGACCCTCATTAGACACTTGTTGATTCTGTAGCTTGCAGAGTGTTTTTTACTGTCTCAGAGACGCTGCTGGTAGGACATTCCTTGTCTCATTTTCTTTCTACTGTCCCTGAAGTATCTGAATAATTTCCTGGAAGCAGCTACGGCTGCATCACGCTACGAAGTTTACTGATTCATTTATCCTAGCAGCTTGGATTTAGTTTTGGCTTTCTGGGCGCTGAGGCGTTCTGAGACCACTTCTACAGACACAGAGTCCCCGCTTCCGAAATGCTAAAGAGGCAGATATTCACGTGCGGAATCTTTTTTTTTTTGTCTCTTTGTCCTCGGCAGTGCAACGGACTCTTCTGGAGAAATAGAGGAGCGTGGCAGCAAAAACAGCCCAACATTCACAGCAGGATAACAAGGCTCACCTGCTCTGCCTCCAAGAAACAAACGCCTGCACAGGCAGAGCCCGCCCCGCTGGGAGCCGCCCCACCAGCCCCACCAGGACCAGTCGCGCCGGGAACGGCTTCTGTCTTGCCTTGCCTTCGCGCCCGCTGGATTCCGCGTTTCCATCCTGAGATGTGTTTTGCTTGTTGACGTGCCGGGTCGATGATGGTGTTGACTAACATGGCGTTTTTGCATCCAGAGGGTAATTAACGGTCACCTTTGCCGAGGGCCTTAAGGGTTCCCACGTGATGTGAAAACCTGACCATCACAAAACAACCCCCCCCATCCACTGTCGTCATCATTCAAATGTCAGAAACCCTGGGCCATTTACAAATCACATGTCAACTGAACGTGTCCGAAACTTGTCTAGCATGCACACGTTCACAGAGGGAGGTAAGCCAGCAATGAGTTCCCTCAAAATTCCTTCCATTGGTTAGGATTTTTTTTTTTTTACACCAGACGAATAAAAAGAAATGAGAAACCACATCCTTCTTACGTAAATGTTTTGCAATGGAGTGACTTTTCAAGAAGGATCTAGTGGGGTGTGAATCCCATGGGTCCTTTTCTGGGGGCTGTGTGACAAAGGATCAACCTAACTGCTTGTTCATAATCCTGGGTTTTTCTCGCTTGGACCCTTTCCTGTCACTTGTCTTGTCACCTGTGGGGTAAGGACTTGTCAGCATTCAGCCTCTGTCCTCCCTGGAGGGGGTGAAGGCCACGCATGTGTTAACTTTTGGCACCATTCTTTCTAAAATCTTTTAACTGCTTTGATGCGAGTGCTGAGTTTAACGTAGGGGTGAAACTGCTGGGTGGCACGGGGACCCCTGATCGACTTTCTAACAGCTTGGAATCAGCTGGAAGTATACGCTTGCTCCTTGCAATGAAAAATGTGGAAAAGTGCTTTTCCACATTTGGGGAAATTTCCCCGTTTAGGGCAACATACACAGTGCAAAGCTTCCAACATGCATACGATTTCATGTAACAGCTTGGGAAGGCCTTGGCGTAGAGTTTCGTGTTTTCCTCATCAAGTGCTGGAGCCCTGATATCCTAGATGGGGCGGATTGGACCTCATTCATCCATGTGCTTTCCTCCACTGAAAGCTTACGAGGTCTTCCTAGGCCTCCATCGGTCCAGGCACGCGAGCCTAAAACTCCTAGAACCCTTAGCTCGACAGGGTCAGTTTCATGAGACTCCGTACTCGTGTCACTGAGGACGGTGTTAAGGGCCACTGCTCGTCCCCAAAGCCAGACTGCACGCACGTCGGTCCCTGCTGAGAGGTACGGCGATGTCACACCTGTACGGGCCGCCATCACAAATGGCCAGGTTTGGAGCCAGACTGCACGCACGTCGGTCCCTGCTGAGAGGTACGGCGTTGTCACACATGTACGGGCCGCCATCACAAATGGCCAGGTTTGGGGGGACAGGGCTGGGATGGGGGCATCAGCCATTGATCGTGGGTCTGTCCTACACTGAAACTCGTAGACACCGCCAGTGGTTTGGGGGGTGAGCATCGGAGGCGTCCCCTATTCTGTTGAGGACTCCACACCCTTCATCCTTTCACTGGTCCCTGCCTCTGTTGCTTATCCAAAAGCTTTCAGAGCGTCACGCTCA